AGAACAACTTCTTGCATTTGTGCCCAGCGGAGTATAGATCATTGCAGTTGAAGCACTGCCCCCTTGCGCGCCGTTCCGCCATCTCGGCTCGGGTCAGCCACCTAATGGGGGTGCAGTCCTGCTACTTCCTATGCTTGATGCTGATCTGGAGGGGTTACCCCGTAGGAAGCCTTTGTTCTCTGCTGGTGATCGAAGAGGGTGTCACTCCTGTTGTCTTCGAAGGTGTCCATGTTGATGCCGGCCATCCTATGCTGAGGTTCCCGTGAGAGAGTTGCATCTTCCTTTCAAAGGCACGTGCGAGGTTCATAGCTGTGACTAGATTAGGAGGGTGTTGCATCTCGACGTCCACTCTTAGGGGTTGCACTAACCCTGCTGTAAACATGTCGACTTGCTGGTCTGGGCGTACCGAGGCTGCTCTGGCGAGAAGGGTTTGGAACTGGCATTGATAATCCGCCACAGTTTCGGTTTGTTTGAGGTTGATTAATTCGCCCAGCGGATTACTTGTCAGCGGGGGTCCAAACCGGAGGAGGCAATAGGATTTAAATTGTTCTCAGCTAAGCCCGGGTTCTTCCTGTTCTAGACGGTAGAACCAGAGTTGTGCCTCTTCTGTGAGGAGGAAAGCGGCCAGACTGACCTTGTCTCTGTTATCGGTGCGCTGGTTGTGGAAGAACTGCTCGCAGCGATACAACCATCCCAGTGGGTCTCCAGTGCCGTTGTAGGACGGAAATTCTAGCCGACTGTATTTGGGGATAACAGCGGTAGTCGGGGCAGCGATCTGATGTTCGTCGGACGTTTCTACCCAGTCCGGCCTGCGGCTGTTGCTGGTGGCGGTTCCTTCTGAATTTCATTCTTTATTGGATAAGAACGTCTCCAGCAAACGTCGAAGCTCCCGGACATCGTCTTTGACCTCACGAACTTCCATGCTGGTCTCTGCAAGTTTGTGTTCCAGTTCGTGGACCCTGGAAGACAGCGGCTCCTGTTCCCCCATGATGGTAGGCTCTGATACAGAATGTTATGGGCCTGGGCGTAGGATCTCGTCACGGGTCGGTCCACCGGGAGAGACTCCTGCTTTTCCTTGCCCTTCCCCTTGCGTACAGACCCTATTGTGGCAATCGAGTGGGTGATTTGTCCAAGAGATCACCCAAACTCTCCTTACACCTTTCTTGGTCGAAAAACTGAATGCCTTTATTTCAACTCATAGCTCCTTAAATAAGAGATTACGAAAGGGGATTCCTTGTTGGATTCGGCTAGGCTAGGGTAATCCATATCAAACTCAACTCCTACTTCTAAATAAATTACCTACTTTTAATGGTAACACAACTCCTACTTTTGGTGGCAAACAGAACTCTTACTAAGAAGATAAGATAAGATAAGGATAAGGGATGAGGGATAATGCAGCTGGCGGCGAGTTTGTGTTCCAGTTCGTGGACCCTGGAAGACAGCGGCTCCTGTTCCCCCATGATGGTAGCCTCTGATACAGAATGTTATGAGCCCGGGCGTAGGATCTCATCACGGGTCGGTCCACCGGGAGAGACTCCTGCTTTCCCTTGCCCTTCCCCTTGCGTACAGACCCTATTGTGGCAA